CAAGAAATGTGCGTTTGCTGTAAGAGGAGGCAAATTTTTGGGGTACATGATGAGCGAGAAGGGGATTGAGCCCAATCCAGAAAAAGTAAAGGCCATTGTGGACATGGAGGCTCCGAGGAATCTCAAGGAAGTACAGAGATTGACCGGTCGTCTAGCCGCCCTGAGCAGATTCCTATCAAAACTGGCCGATCGAGCTATCCCGTTTTTCCAAATCATGAAGAAAGCCAACCCTTTCGAGTGGACGGCCGAATGCCAAACGGCCTTTGAGGATTTCAAGACATATCTGTCTTCCCCCTGGTCTTGACAAAACCCGAACCAGGGGAACATCTGTATATGTACCTTGCTGTAGCTGACTTGGCCGTAAGCACAGTACTGCTGAAAGAAGAAGATGGCGTTCAACGGCCAATCTATTTTGTGAGCAAGGCGTTGAACGGCCCGGAAACCAGGTACACCTTGCTAGAAAAGAATATACTGGCCCTGATAGCTGCCATTAAATGCCTGGCCCCGTATTTCCAGACCCACCCGGTAACTGTATATACTACCCAGCCATTAGCCACCATCTTGAGAAATCCTATGGCAAGTGGGCGCATTACCAAGTGGAGTCTCCTGATCGGGCAATACGAGGTAGATTTCAAACCCCGGCCTACTATCAAAGGGCAGGCCCTGGCAGATTTCATTGCGGAATGTACCACCCGGCCCTCAGAAAAAGATTCAGAGAACAATGGGCTGGATAACTGGTGGGAAATGTATGTGGATGGAGCATCTAGTGCCAAAGGTTGTGGAGCTGGAGCTGTGATCACATCGCCCGAGGGGTTCAAAGCATATTATTCCATTCATTTTGATTTCAAGGTGACCAACAATGAGGCTGAATATGAGGCTCTCATTGCTAGTTTATAGTATGCAAGGGCCCTGGGCGCCGATCGATTAAAAGTAAGACCGGACAGTCAGCTGGTGGTACATCAAGTGAACGGCACGGCTGAGGCCAAAGAAGAAAGGATGAAGGCCTACAAGGAAATGGTCGAGGAGCAGATACATAAATTTGAACAGGTGGTGCTCGACCAGATATCCAGAATCGAAAATACTGAAGTAGATATCCTGTCCAAATTAGAGCATGCAGCGTTCGACGATCGGGCACAGGAGATCCCGGCTCATATCCAACGTTTTGCCCATCGGGAAACATTGGCAACCCCAGCAGTAATGGTGCTCCAGATCGAGGCCATATCTTATGCCATCCCGAGCTGGGTCGTGGATATGACCAACTACCTAAAAGACGGAACCCTCCCACAAGATAAAAATCCTGCTTATCAAATAAAATGCATCCAGAGGAGGGCTTCCATGTTCGAGTTGGTGGACGGGCAGCTGTACAAAAAGACATTTGGGAGGCCGTATCTGAAATGCCTCCCACCCGATCTAGCGGCAGCTGTAATGGAAGAGATTCATGAAGGTATCTGTTCCAGTCACCAAGGGCCCAAGACGCTGGCCAGAAAAATCATCTTGCAAGGATATTATTGGCCAACTATCCAACAGGACTGCTTCGCGCATACCAGGAAATGTAAGGTATGCCAATTATACGCACCGGTTCCCGGACGGCCTGCCACTTTCTACACTCCAATGACGGTGGCCCTTCCATTTGCAAGATGGGGAATAGACCTGTTAGGTCCTCTACCTACTGCACCCGGAAACAACAAGTACATCATTGTGGGGATAGATTACTTCACCAAATGGGTAGAGGCCGAGCCACTGGCCAGCATCACAGATGTTAAATGCCAGAAGTTTGTCTGGAAAAATATCATTTGCCGGTTCGGAATCCCTGAACAGATTATAACTGACAATGGAAGGCAGTTCGTGAGCCGAAATTTTGAGAACTACCTAGTCAAATGGGGGATCAAGCATTCCAGAGCATCCGTCGCATACCCTCAGGCAAATGGTCAGGTAGAAAATATGAACCGAACCATCATGGATGGCATGAAGAAGAAGCTGGAAGAATACTCCTCATCGTGGCCTGATCAGTTGAATTACATTCTGTGGACTTACATGACCACACCCCGAACGGCCACGGGAGAGACTCCATTTGCCCTTGCCTGTGGTTTTCAAGCCAAAGTACCGACGGAGATCCTAGTTCCCACACACCGAACGGTGCATTACAGCCCAGAACAGAATGAAGATAACTTACGGGCCGAATTGCATTTCGTAGAAGAAAGGAGGGATCTGGCAGCGGCACGAATGGAAGAGTATCACAGAGCCACAAGAAGATACTTCGATAAGCAGGTTAAAGTTCGTTCAATCGAGGTAGGGGACCCGGTACTAAGAAAGAGAGAGAAAAACAAACCGCTCGAAGGGGGCAAAATGGTACAAAATTGGGAAGGCCCCTACCAAGTATGTAAGAAGTATGCTTCAGGAACGTTTGGCCTACAAAATACCGAAGGCCGACCGGCAGGAACCTGGAATGTAGAGCATCTGAGGAGATTTTATCAGTAAAAACGGCTGTTGCCACCTCTAAAGCAAAAAAAATATATAGAGAGGGAGACATAACTTCCACAAACTCAGCCCATGGTTAACTCGATCATTCCGGATAACCGAATGACGAACGAGTTAACAACATGGAAGGAAAATCAATTCTCAGTTTAGAGAGTTTTTGACCCTAGAATTACGAAAGAATAAAGGGATCAAAAACGGCTTGAAGAATTGAGGCTCAGAAAATCGGTGCCCATGGTTAACTCGATCATTCCGGATGACCGAATGACGAACGGGTTAATTCCATGGAAGGAAAATCAATTCTCAGTTTAGAGAGTTTTTGACCCTAGATTTATGTAAGAATAAAGGGATCAAAAATGGCTTGAAGAATTGAGGCTCAGAAAATCGGTGCCCATGGTTAACTCAATCATTCCGGATGACCGAATGACGAACGGGTTAATTCCATGGAAGGAAAGTCATTCTCAGCCAAACGACTGGGAGTTTTACGCTCAGATAGTCTCACCTCAGCGGTTAATATGAGAATCGATTCTGGAAAACGGAATGACGAACATATTAGCAGTTTGGAGGGAGCCATACATTTCAGCAAGAGTTTTGACCCTGTAATTACGCATTGATGAAGGGATCAAAATGGCCTGGAGTTCGAAGGACAGTGATTCTCACCTCAGCTTGTTAACACGTAGAATCATTCTGGATGACCGAATGACGAACGGGTTAACAACTTGGAGGGAGCTGAGTCGTCAACTTAGCCAAAGTCGACCCTGTAATTACGTACGGGCAAAGGGATCAAAACGGCTTGGAGATGGTGTCAAGACCGTAAGATATGGATTAACCGAGCGACGTTCGGATAAGGTACGGATTGTCGTCCGGGGAATCGGAACTATGGTTTTGAAAAATCTCGCCTCAGTCATAAAACTTGACTTGGAAGCTAGTCGCCCTTTTAGCTATAAGTAAGAAATGACCCAACTTCGGTGATCTTGCTTACAGTTCGAAAAAGGTTACCTCAGACCCCTAATATGGATGATACGAGCCAGAGAAAACAGTTCGGAATGCATCGGAATTATGGGTTTGGAAGGAGAGAGCCTCACCTCAGCTTGTTAACGCATGAAATCATTCTGGATGACCGAATGACGAACGGGTTAACAGTTTGGAGGGAGCCCCTATCCCAGCCGAGAGTTTGACCCTGTGGTCACGATCAAAACGGCTTGGAGGAATTCACCTCAGCTAAGAGTTTTGAACCCGTGCGTCACGAACAGGAAAAGGGATCAAAACGGGTTCGGGAAGGTGTCAGAACAATTATGAAGAGAGTCTCACCTCAGCTTGTTAACACGTGAAATCATTCCGGATGACCGAATGTCGAACGTGTTAACAGTTTGGAGGGAGCCCCTATCCCAGCCGAGAGTTTGACCCTGTGGTCACGATCAAAACGGCTTGAAGGAATTCACCTCAGCTAAGAGTTTTGAATCCGTGCATCACGAACAGGAAAAGGGATCAAAACGGGTTCGGAAAAGGTGTCAGATATAAAGATACATAAGCCGAGTGAGGTTCGGCCATGTAGAAAAGATTGTGGACAAAAATCAAAGGAATAGAAAAAGTACAACAGACAAAGGAAAAAAGTCCAGTTTATTCTTCGGCGTTACTAGCCGGAATATACAAAAACAAATATACAAGAAAGGAGACAACAGATAAGGAAAGGCTACACTAATGGATGATCGCCGTTCGGGGAGGATGTAGGCTGAGAGCTCCCTGCCTGCACTGCATCGTCAGGCGCTGCTTTGGATCTTTTCTCCATGACGCGATCATACGTATTCCCGAACAGATCATCGAAGCCTAGTTCATCAGGATCGAACGGCTTGGGGAAACGCTCTAAGATCAGTTCAAGATTCCTATCCAGAAGCAGGTCCTGACTTTGCTTTACGGTTTTCTCGGTCAGGACATCCAAGAAAGATTTCCCTTCCGGCGTGCTGTCCAGGAGGTCGATCCCTGCCTTGATGGGATCTGAGCTCTCACGCAAAAATTGGCCAAGGTGAGGACCTAGGAATTGCCGGGCCGTGTTCTCCAGAGCGAGGTTCAGCGCCTTGCCCCGTTGGAAATCCACTACCGATTGCTGAGCAATCTGAGAGGTATTGACCGTGTAGGGTTCGGGCAGATGATCTCCGACAGCCTTATCAAATTTAATGCCAGCAGATTCAGCAGCCCGCACCTTGGCCCGGAGTTCTTTGAGCTCCCGGTCGCGACGACGGGACGTCTCCTGCATCTCGGCCAGGGTAGCTTTTGCCTTCTCACCCTCTTTGGCCTGCTCCTGGAGGTCGGTCGCTAACTTCCGAGCAGCGGAAAGAAGGACCTGGCCGTCATCCCGATCACTGGCCAGGGCTTTCATCTCCTTCTCAGCAGCAAGAAAGGCTTTGTGATAGTACACGCCAGCCTGAAAACAAGGTTACAATGAAAGTCAGAAAAGGTAAAGATGAGTAATAGAAAGGTATGGGTCGGACTGAAATGTACCTTGAGTGCTTCCTGGTGACCTACTTCGAAAAGGTCCGACCAGTGAGTCAAGTTAGTGAAGCTCGGGGGAACTTTGATCGCAGTATGACACCACATAGAAGATGGCATCAACCCGAACAGATACCTCCCTTCCGATCTGGGCCCCATATTTGAGAACTCAACAAACATCCGATCATCGATCGGTGTGGCAGTAAGAACCGGAGTTTGTTTGTTGGCAGGCACTGATCTTTTGGGCTCAACCTCCGGCCCGGTCAAGTCAACCACATGGTCGATCGGGATCAGGTGATCGCCATCATTTCCTTTGCGCTTTTTGCGGGTTTGCTCCGCCGAATCACGATCGGCTATCATCTTCTCTTTCCCTTTAGCAGAGGAGATAGAACGCCGGACGGGTATGGGAGAGATCACACCTACAAGAAAGAGAAATAAAAAATAAGAAAGTTGAATTGTGAGAACGAAGAATGATCGGGTTAAAACCCTACTATGCTTACCAATTCCAGCAGATAACATGCTCGAGGCAGTGACAAAGCTGCGAAGACTTCTGGTCCCTCCCATTCGCAGAGACTCAGCCTGGGAGCGTAGAACGGCATCCACCCTGGGCAGGGAATCCCGAACGGGATATGCATTCCACCGGTCCTGGAATGGCAAAGAATCACCTACCCGAACGAACAAAAACTGCTCTTCCCAGTCAGCCTGCGGGGTAACGTTCTCCGTGAACAGCTGACGGTCAGAACGGGCTACCAGCTTCAAGTACCCGGTCGTCCAGTAGGGCTGATAGCAGTAATGATAAAGGAACAGATCGACGCTCGGGGTGATCCTCAACTCATGGCACCGGATAATGAAGTCTGTCAGAATACGGTAGGTGCTGGGCACGAACTGAGCGGGCAGTACAGCAACCCGGCGTAAGAACTCCACTATGAATGAGTGGAGAGGGAACCGAAGTCCAGCAGTCAGAGCATCGAGGTGCACTAGCACGTGCCCCGGTCTGTGCCTCATAGGGTGCCGAATGAATCCGGCATAGTATTCTCTTGGTGGGGGCAACAACTGGCTAAGTTGCCGTTCAACATCTTCTGGGAGACGTTGTTTGTGTTTGCGTATGCGATTGAAATGTAGGGGAATGCGGGGTGACCGCTCGGGCATCCCCTTGTTGTAAACCTGGAGGTCATCTCCCGACAGACATCCATCCTCCTGCGGCTGTTCGGTATGTTTGCTGACCTGAGTATTGGCGGGTTTGGGTGTTTGGGACGAAGAGCCTTCGGCCTGATTACCAGCGGATGTTTTGCTTTTGCGGATCAAAGGCATCTCTTCAGATTCTGAGCTAGAGGAGTAGTACATAAAAACGCTGGAGGAAATTTGGGAATTCTAGAGAGAGAAGGCTTGAGAGTATGCAAAGGAATTCTAGAGAGAGAAAGCTCGAAAGAAAAATGAGAAAACAACAGGAGAAATTAGGGGAAGCACCTCTCTATAAATAGGGAAAGTACCGCACAACTCCCTAATCCATGAGCAACATGTGGCATTTGGTGGTTACGATTAAATTGGGGCATTTATGTTCCATTTTTTGTGCACGTACCCCGGACGGGCTTACAGAGGATTAGCAAAAGTCACAGGGGCTTGCTGTTTAGAAAAATGCTAAGTCCTAAATGTCAACTTGAAGCCCGACCGGCCGACAGTATTATAAAAGGTTATCTGGAAGAAAAATGCTAAGTCCTAAATATCAACCTGAAGCCCGACCGGCCGACAGTATTATAAAAGGTTATCTGGAAGAAAAATGCTAAGGCCTAAATGTCAACCTGAAGCCCGACCGGCCAACAGTATTGTAAAAGGTCATCTGGAGGAAAATGGTTAAGTCCTAAAAATTGGTTTGAAGCCCGGCCGGCTATCAATGTTATGAAGGAGCCCAGGTGCAAAGAAAACCGAGAAAACTGCTAAGTCCTAAAATTTGGTATGAAGCCCGAACGGCTGAGTACCGGGGGGAAGGGGTTTTTTCCTTTAAATTATCAGAACTGTCTAATGCCCGAACGGCGATCAGCGGCATTAAGAATATTTGAGCAAGAAATAAGTTAGGAAATTGCTGTCCTACAAAACAGGCCGAATCCCGAATGACGAGTAAATAATGCATTGAAAACAGAAAAGACAGCACAGAAAGTTTCAGGCAAAAGAGGGATATATATTCTTCGGTTCTACTGACCGGGAAGTACAAGCTATTTAGAGAAAAAGAAAATTACAACAAATAATGAAAAAGTACATATGAATTATTGATTGGGGGCCATGTCATCTCCCTCTTCATCCTCATCCTCATCATCATCAGATGAGGGTTCAGGCTCTTTTCCCGCAGCCCGATCAGCTTCCCGTTGCTGGGCTCGCAGATATTTCTCGAACTGCGCCTGAATGATGTCATCTGTGGGGAGATCAGAGGCCTGAACCGGTCTCCCCAGTTGATTTTGAAGCTTAATGACGAAGGGACGCAGCAAGACCTGGCCAATTTTGCCATAAAGATCGGAGACAATGGAGTCGTTCCATTTCTTGGCCTCCGGGTCCTTATCCAAGAGGGCCACCCCAGCCGATAGCCGACCGGCGCCTTTGGGGAAATCCTTCAAATACGCCCCAAAGGCGAACGAGATTTGGGCCCTGGCATGTTCATCCTTGATGAGGGAGAATTCATCGGAGGATTTAAACATGTCCCGGACGGCGGACAAATCCACGTTCACTTCATAGGGACCGTCCGGGATACTGGATGGCAGTTCTTCGAATCTGACCCGTGCGGCCTCAGCGGCAAGGATCTTCGCCTGAGAAGCTGCGAATTGGACCCGAAGGGTACCGACTTCAGCATCCAGCCTCTGCTTTTCCTCAGCAAAGGTTTTCCGTTCGGCCTCCAGAGAGGCGATGGCAGCAGCAGCATGTTGCTCAGCAGAAGACTGGGCAACAATCAGTTCCCGCTCTTTGGCCAGGCGGGCCTCCCGCATCTGAAGGGTGTACAAGCCCATCTACAGAATACCGTTCGAGAATTAGTACTGGTTACAGAGAATAAAATTAAGACAAAGCGCAAAAGACAACGTACCTTCAGAGCAGTCAGAGCCAAACATTCCTCAGATTGCTCGACCGGCAACTGAGGGAGGGAAAAGTTGTTAAACCAGGAGGAGGTAGACCAGATATGGCTCGTTGTAGATCCAGCCCTCTCTAAAACCTCATGAACAGGGTCGGATAGGGAGATCCGCTCGACCTGACCCGTAATGTGGTCGGTATGGGTCTCACCAGCATTCGAGGATTCCCCCCGAACGGAGTCGAAATGCTGGGAAAATTGGTGCAGTTGGTCAGAACCGAACCGATCATCAAGCAGCATGGCCTCTAGTTGATCCTGGTGGACCAGCTGAATTGGCTGAGGTTCTGGGAGCGGTTGAGAAGGGGCAGCCTCCTGAGCGGGAACAATGGTGGGAGTAGGTTGGGGGTTCTTCCGGGATTTTTTTCCGTTTTCCGCCCCCACCGGCTGCGATGACTCTGCTATCATCCATGGGAAGATCTGGGTTGGGTGCTGAAAAAAGGCAAAGAACAATGTTAGTATCGAGCGGTCCTAGCGTGTGAGAAACTAGAAAAAAGAATAAAGGAACGTTTCTCGCACGGGAAGGACCGCCCGGACCAAGGCACTTGGTTTATCAAAACAAGTAAACCCAAGAGAACGGGCAGTACCTATCCCGGCTGTTATAAGTCGTTCGGGGGTCAGATAATTCATGATGTCCATGCATTTATCCTTCTCCACAGCGAGCACGTCCTTGTAGATTTCTTCAGTCAGGACAGGATCAGGGGTTTTGCGGGGAAAAGCATTCCACTTGCGGGGAATCAGACCGTCCGGGATGGACACGAAGAAAAACCGGTCTTTACACCCTTTGATCGAAGTTGGGTTTCCTTTGAACAGGATGTGTCCCGTTCGGGCACTAGTGGCCAAATAGCCATTGGTCTGTTGGGGGGCTACTTTGAAAAACTGGTGGAAGAGTTCTAGGGTTGGTCGGGCGCCGGCATCTTTGCAACGACAAATGAAACCCGCCATTGCTCGATAAGAGTTCGGCATAATCTGGGCCGGTACAATTTCGTAGAAATTGAAGAAGGAAATAAAGAAAGGGTGTAGCGGAAATCTAAGGCCGACCCTAATTGAGTCAAAGTGGACTATGGTCATTCCGGGCCTATGACGCATTGGATGAAGCCCGGCTTGCAAACGGAAATCCACCGGGTCAGGGATAAGGGCCGGAATTTCGGCCCTATTGTGAGAGGTCAATTTTTGCCTCCTCTCCCTAATCAATTTTAGGTCAAGAGTATGGCGAGGAACATCGTTGGGACGTCCGGCCGCCATGGAGGCCAATTCGTCCTCAGATTTGGTGTCATCAGAATCCTCACTGGAGGAAGAAGAAGTGCTAGGGAGGTCCCCCGCCTCAGCCCTGGTATTCGTCGCCGTCTCGGTAGAAACACCGGCAAACGGAACTGGGATGGCATCTACCATGGCGGTGTCACGGTCATCCCCATGAGAGGCCATCTCCGAATCAGAAGAATGCTCTGTGGGGCTCATCTCGATCGAAGCCAGAAATGAAGATGGGGAATCCAAGGTTGGGAAGTTACCTGAGCAAGGGAAGCAGGGGGAAATTTGCAGAGGAAACAACGAAGGCCAAGGAATTGCAGAGTCGAAACCCGGAATTGAGGAATTAAGGGCTAATTTATAGCCTTGAAACCGCCGTGTCGAGAACCAATCAGAGAGCGACACATCACTAGGGGCATTTAAACTAGACACGCGTCTAATGAAAAGACTAAACGACGGTTATCATGATGAATATGGGGAAATGAAGCGGCAGCCGTCAAATCGCAGCATGGGGAACTGATTACTTCTGTACCCCGATCGCCATTTGGGGTATTATGACATTGGTATACTTCCTGATGCACTCACTTCGTTCGAGACATCGGAAGTGGGGGACTTGTGTTGGGATATTGACCTAGAGGCCCAATACCCAGATCGGGAAGGCCCAAGGTATCCGGCCCAAGTAACAGGCCCATCACTCCATGATGAAAAGATCCAGTAAGGAGACATACCGAACGGGGTTCGGCCCAAATAAAGGTTGGCCCAATAAGAAGACATACCGAGCGAGGTTCGGACTATATATTATACTTGGGCCAATTTGACAGCATCTTCAGTACGGACCAACATCCCGTTCGAGCGACGGCCAACCAGCAAGTGGCCAGGTGCAGTTAATGCCAGATTATGACATCAGCAAGTGGAAGCATGGATGACCAAGTCGGTGGAACAACGGCCAATCAGCAAGAGGTAGCCCATGCTCTCCATTAGTATAAATAGAAGGTTTCAAGTCATTGTAAGGGTTAGCATTTCAATACTCAAGCTCTAGAATAGCATCATTTGCTCTTATTTCTTGTATTAAGGCATAGTTTCCGACTTATCGATCGGGAAATCCTTTGTAATCAGATTGGTTAATTAATACAAGTGAGCTTTCGAGTTTTAGTTAGTTCAGATATTATATTTTCTTATACACCTTGATTCTGGGTCATTCCTGATATATCCAAAGTTCGTGTTGGGCTTTCGGATTTACGGGACTTACCCTCAACAAATATATTATAGAAAAGTGTATGCATATAAAAATATATTACAAAAAAAAATGTATGAATGTAAAAAATTAAAATTACATAGGCAATATTGGTCTCATTTGAAAGATCATGAAAAATAAAAATTTTTGATATAAATTTTATAAAAATCGGATCAAAAATAAAAAAATTATTAACAATTTTAAGAAAAGGAGAAATAAAAAATAATAAAGGGTGCATGGTGCTCACCGTGTATAAGCACTGGTAGTATTATGTTTCAAGCTCGTAAATTTATTGCATTGCATGTAGGGTTGGTCACAATCCTTGTTGTGAACAGAACTCGAACCACTAGCCCGACTCTTTTTTTTTTTTTTGATAATCCTGGTGTCGGGGCTTACGCTCCCATGCTCCATAGTGCTAAGCATAACCGAAATTCTAATCAAACTTGAAACCATGTAATGCCCGTTTGGTAGCCATGATTTTTGGCTTTTCAGGCTTATAAACTAACTTTTTCACCAAACACGTAACTTTTGGTTTTACGGGTTGAATTGTGTAATAATAAGAAAAAATAAGGTTCGAGTTACTTTTTTGGCTGTATTGGGTGAAGTTATTGTATAAGGCCATTTTAGTTATTTTTCCATATAATTTTTTTCTTTATTTTATTAATAAAATGTATTTTAAATTAATATTTTTCACAAATCAGCCGAATCAGCTAATATAACCACATTGGCCAGAATTTCATAAATTTCAGCAGAATCAGCCGATTTGGGTATTACCAAACGGGCTCGTAATGACTATCTTATTCTGATACATTTATACCCTGATGGGTGATATTCGAGGTTATAATTTTGATTCTATTTTCTCTCAAAAGATGAATGTTCGCGTTTAGAAATGTTCAAATGGGATGAGTCTCATAAGATCCTGACCTAACTTCAACATATGTACATGCCCCGATATGAAACTAGTTAACCCGGTGTCGGTTAAAATTCTTCAATCCAAACATATGAAATAAATAGGTCATAATTGGACCCGACCAGACCCAAGTTAATACATGCCCTTCTTTATAAAAAAAATGACTCCGCCGTTTTTTTAAACGTAACATATTCTAAACAACTTGTGATCTGATTTGAGATGAAACTTCATGTCAAGTCGGCCTGATCGGGGCATCCGGCCGGCCGAACCCGTTTGAACGTCTTCCCGGTGAATTTTTTTGAGCATCTTCTTCATCAAATCTAGTTTACCCATATCAAATTTTTATGAGAAATATTTTGACTATTTTAAGCTTCATGAAGAGAAAACTCACTATACTAAACACGTTCACAATAATTATCACTTCAAAATGATGAAACTGTTAGAAGTTACTTCCCTCTACCTTGGGCAAGTTGAAAATTTATTCTATATAGGCTTTGTTTGGAAAATGGTTGTTAGCTATTGCTGTCAGCCGGTTGTGTCAGCTGTTTTCTAACAGCTTGTTGTGTTAGTTGTTTTGACCGACTGGTTATGTTAGCTGACTATAAATAATTGTTTGGTAAAATTGGCTGTTTCAAAATGACTGATAGAGTGTAAATCTAAAAGAATGAAAGAAGCCAATCTAAAAAGTTGCCCCCCTTGGCTTTTCCTACCAGCCATTTTTTCAGCTTTTCGGACTCAACAAGCCAATCTAAAAAGCTATTTACCAAACTGTCCAAACATAAATATTGAGTGTTTTGACTAATGAAACAACTAAATTTGGTCAAACAAGCTAAAAGTTGATTGATAAGCCGTTTGACAAACATACCCATACTAAAGATGACTTCATTGAAGAGGCTATTGATGGAAAAATCTACACAAAAGAAACTTAATTATACACTCCGTATTACATTAATCTAGCAGCTGCCTATGCCAGCTACCTCAGCTTCTTAATTGGCTCAATGATATGTACAAAAACTGTAAATGTCTAGACACTGACAAATACTCACCCAATCTATCTATTCTAAATAAGTAAAGAAAACAGCACAATGAAAGAAAAAGACAAAGTCTACAAAATATAATGGCCTAGATAATTAAAGCTATATAGAGTTGTGCAGCAATTGTTTGGACATAGACCATCTATGTAGAGCCTGACCAAAAACATCATAGAACACAATCTCTAAATCACTCTTCATCAATTGCACAGACATGAACCCTTGTCCATCATAGAAGAATGCCAAGCCTGCCTTGTTCATTCCTTTTACATCTCCCCTCCAGGCCTTCGATCCCGCCCCGCTGGTCATGAATTGGATCGGGCTGCAAACGATCACAAGAAACAAATATTAAAAAACTGATTAACGAAAACCACAAATCTAGTCAGATCAGATCAGATCAATAGCGTGATTTTGCATGTATGAGCCGTTACAAAACACCGCACATTAATGAAATACGGAGTATAAAGATGCAGACAAACCGGCATAAAATCTGCAATAATAATCGTGAATCATAAAACACGTTTAAACGCTCACCTTTCATCATCAGCGATGTGCTCGAGACAATGGTCGTGGCCATTCATATATAGATCAACATTATAAGTCTGTTTTTCATGATCAAACACGAAAATATTTAAATTAGTATTAATAATTCAAGCTTAATAGGTCATGAAACTACACTACAAATGCAAATATGATAAAACAAAATTCATTCATACTTAACTTTAAAATGGTGAACAAGAGAGATCGACTAGAAACATGCAAAGTATTAAGACTTGAGGTTTCGACACGAGATTGTTATTTCATATGTAACCGATATCAACAAATTTTCGACAACAATGAAAATGAAGGAGAACTTTGGACATCATTAGCTTACCCGAAGAAGGGGAAGAAGGCGATCGATAAGCTCATTGGTATCACCGTGATGCCCAACACTCCTTATCGCATGATGACCGATAACTATCTTCCATGTCGCAGTGGATTTCATCAGTGCCGATTCAACATCCTTAAGAAATCATCAATAACTTACCTTAATTAGTAACACCAACATGATTTTCTGTTTCCTAAACTTTTATATGTATATATTGATATGCTGATTTGTATCTGTATAAGTATATTTATTCAAATGGGATTATTTACTTTTAGTAAATTGGTGAGGTAAGTCTGCCTGGGGTTTACACCACGCCAGTCATATGTATGCTCCTCTGGGGAGGAAAAGTATTCTTCCACAAATGGAGTTGTATCCACAAAAAATATCTCAGCAATTTCTGGAAAAAAGGAAAGTAAACATAATTATAACATATTCAATACATCATTAATATATTCAAATTGATTGTTTAATAACAAGAAAAGGAAAAAAAAAAACTCACCTGCATTGACAATAAATGACCTTAAACACAGCCATCTGCTATCAATTTTCTTGAGGTAAGGGCTCAATTGAGCCTCTGCATCTCCCCTGTAATCATGGTTTCCTAATACTGCAAATTATTTCACTTTGTTACCAATATTTTCATGATTAAAAAAAAGAAAGAAAATGAAAGGAAAAAAGCATCTCTTCAAGGCTCATCATATATATACATACCAGAATACCATTGTTTCTGCAAGCTTTTTGCAGTATAAATATTGGTGAAAGATTCTGCAAAAGCCTGATCATGTTTTCCTGTCAACCCATTGTCATAAAAGTTATCACCCGTTGATACAACAAAATCAACGTCCAATTTCTCTCCAATTCTCCCCATCTGCGCCCAAAAACCATTATCAAGATCAGATTTTTGCTTAACCTCAAAAATAATTTTCTTGAATTCATAACAATGCATGGTTTAATTTTCTAGAAAACTGACAAACCTGAGAGGCAACTCTGGACTGATTATAATCACCCTTTCTTCCCCAATCACCAACTACCAAGAAACTCAGACTCCCATCACCCTTTGTGGGGTGAGAAAATGTCTGAAGCTCTGCCATGGCGGCCAACGACCAGAAAACGCACAGAACCATGGAAACCTTCAAGAACCTGGCCATGGCTCTGTTAAATGCAAAAACAAAAACGGAAAATATAAATGTGAATAAATATTCACACGATAATAAATTATATCAGGCTCTTTCTGGATTGAATGGTGGATCGACAATTAGAGGAAGGACCGTATGGAATTTGCCCAGCAATCTGTTCTTGGGTATAAATAAGGGCCAAGGAGAAAGATCATTAAAGGGTAAATCTTTTTAATCTAGGTGTTTAATTTAATAATAAACACACATGGAAAAAGACAAAGACGGTATAATTTGGGTGGAAGGGGATTAATTAATTAAAGTTCATTCATTCAGGAGAATATAACACAGAGTAATAATTAATATACAGTGCAGATTTTTCATTTAAATATTTACTCGTATTTACTATCGGAATATGCTGAATTGCAAATGGATATGCATAGATGCGGATAATCCGAGAATATTCTAATGCTTCTTTTCTCTTCTTCGATCTAATTTTTTTTATTCAACGGAAGGGATCTCTTCTTCGATCTATGATTGGCTGTCCATCCCAATCAAACTATTATACTGCAATTGGTAATGGAGTATGGGGGTGTGCTGGAATGGGGTTCAATGAAAAATAGAATAAGACCAATATTATCTGGTCTAATTTGAGACAGTGCATGCAAATAATGCGCATTAATAACGCAAAAATAAAATTAAATGTCACCATCTTAATGCATATAGTTATCTCTTATTCTCTTATTATACTTGTATTTTGAGCTGTATAATCTATAATAATTATTAATTAGAATAACCTATAATAAGTAGAAATGTAGAATAAAGATCTGGCGTGCCTCACTAGAACCGTCGTCTGTTCAAGCTTGTGTGAAGCTACATCTTCATGCTCAACTTTTTATTGAAATTTTGTGAAAAACGTGGAGTGTAGAGAGTATTTAAGCACCAATTTTCCATCTATGGTTCAATCCGAGGAGGAGTACAAGCACACCATGTTGTATGAGTTTTCACTCGAGTAACATGAGTTGTTTCTCATTAATTAAGTAAATATGACAATAAATTCACTCCTAGAATACGCACTATATAGGCTTATAGTGGATTTTGTAGGAGTGATGTGACAGGACCGGCCCTCACATATTAAAGGTCTTGTTCAAAATTGAATATGAGGCTCTGAAGTATAAAACACAATATTAATATTTCAATAGTTTTTAAATAATAGTCTCCTTAATTTTTTGTGGTTTTTAAGAAGAGTATGAGAAATAGTATATAGGTGTAAGGTAAATGAAAAAGTAGAAAAAGAATATATTAAAAAGAGTAAAACAATGATAAAGTATGAAAGTCCATCCCAAATTGTACGAGGGCTTTGTTCTAATTACTGTAACTAGACCTTAGATAATAAAGAAATTGCACAATTGTAATTAACAATTGCATTTTAATTACATATAAATATTACTATTAAATGTTTGTATTTAAAAAATACTAAGATGAGAATCTTTAATCAAATAAATGAGGTTTTTGATATTATGTAGACCGTATTTAAAATCTTGGGCCTTCTGAATCGAGAGGCCTTGTGTGATAGCACTTCTTGCACGCTCTCAGCTCTCATCTATGACCCTGATGTGATGATGGGTTATGAAATTGCATTGGTTATTGCACTGTTTTAGACTACCATATTGAAATTTAAAAAAAAAATACATTCCCATAAAATTTCAACTCAAAATTCAATTAAGAAGTAAGTTAAATAAATAATTGAAAAATATGGCGCTTTATGTATGCATGTGTGTGTATTAAGTGTCGTGTTTTTTAATAATGTATTTAACTGACTTCCCGGTTGAATTTCAAATTGAAGTTTTATTTGAATGATCTACACTTGATGGAAATTAAAACATGCTCAAAAAATTTCATCAAAAAAATCGTCTCAAGAGAACCTCAAATGGGCTTGATCAGACGGTGGTTCCCGTCAGTTCGGACTGACCAAATCATTTCTCTCTATAAGTATATACCAAAGTTTTTTTTTCCTGAAATAATGTTAAATAAAAAAAATATTTACAAAATTAGGATGAGGTTAAAGTTTTTTTTCCAAAATAATGCCCGAATATAGTGGCGAAACTACATAAGGGTCAGGGGTCCCTGTGGTATTTTTTATTTTTTATTATATATATTCTTGTCTTAAAATGTCAAACAAGAATGCCGTCCTACTATCTCATTTTAAGTGGTTCTGGGTAAAAAAAAAATTGCACTTTCTTCATGAATAGTAGAGTACATCCATAAAATTTCAACTGAAAAATCAATAGAGAAGTCGGTTAAATAAATTTTTAAAACTAATTACGTATTTTATGTATATTTTAGCGCTTTTATCTTCAAAAAAATAATTTACCTGGCTCCCGATTCAATTTTTAGCAAAAATTTGGTGGACATAATCTACACTTCTTGAAGAACACGTTCAAAAAAATATAAAAAAAAAATCACCTGAAACCACCTCAAAATGAGGTGACCGGATGGTTGTCCTGTCCGAAAATTCTGAACAGAAATACTACTCTATATATATTTTTGCCGCCCACCTTGTTGGAGACCAGAATTCCATGGTTGCAGCAAGTCGTCCACCTTGCCTAAGACCTTCTATTCAATTTCCTATTCCGTAGTATTATATGCCCCTCCAAGACATCTGAGCTGGTTTCGCCACTACCGAAATAAACCCTAGTTAACAAAAGCTGCCAATCTGCCATTTAAGTTGATAAATTTGCTTAACGTAGGAATTCACACGTGCACTAAGTTTTAGTCCTATTTAGAGCAATTTCTATTTTTTCAAATGGTTATAACTTTTTATTATCATTGGATTTTACAAAAACTATATTAAAATTCATACTTTTATTAACTTTCATGCGACACCAAAACTACATATATAAAAAATAAAAATAAATTCAACGATGTGAGAGATGAATGCTTTTTAGATCAAGAAGTAGACCCACGTTTTAAAATTAAGATATCATAATGGCCTTTTTATTCTAATATTACTAAAATGAAAGAAAAAGACAAATTTGTGACCTCTATTAAATTTTTCCAAAAATGTGACTAAAAGGCATATTCCATGTGTTTAATCATACATTTATTATTTTAATATTCATTTTATATATTTGATTAGTATTTAGTAGTCATATGACCGCCGACGCAGCACCGCCGCCCCTGCCGCCGCCGCCGGCACCACCGCCACTGCCGGGCGGCAAAGTGGCTCCGGTCAAAGTGACTCCGGCCAAAGTGACTCCGGTCAAAGTGACTCTGGTCAAAGTGACTCCGGCCACAGTGACTCCAGCCGCAGTGACCCCACCGGCCACAGTGATTCCGTTCAGTGACCGCCAGTCACTGTCACCATCGTCCCACCCCTACCCGCTCCCCTCCTCAGCCCACCACCCCCTCCCCAAACCACCAGCCCCTCCCCAGTCAACCAGCCCCCTCTCCAACCCACCAGTGCTAGTACCACGTCAACCACGACGCCCGGTCCCGCCACCGCAGCCGGTGACCCGCCGATGCCGCCGGTGGCCTGCCACCACCACTGACCAGGCAACTTTCACCGTCACCGGATGGATGGATCTCGCCGCGGGAGGATGTAATTTCTGGTCAGATCTACGAAGCTCGTCTCCACCGTTGGAGGAGTTGGTGCAGCTTGGAGAAGGTGAAGCTCGAGAAGCCATTAGAAGGAGAAGAAACGAAGCGGAGCGAGCAATGACGGTTTGTGGAGAAGAAAGGAGAAGAAGATAATGAGAGAGGAGAGGAACAGGTGTAGACGCTACCGCTCTTCGTAACCGCCTTCGTCGCTAATCGTAGCCGCCGCCGTCGATTGAACAGATGATGCATAGGAAGGAGATGGCTGACGATGATGCAAGCCGCGGTGGACCGAGCTCCCCTTCCGAGCAGATGATGCGGAGCACATGGCCTCTGCGCTTGAAATTGAAATGGAGTCGCAGGAGGTGCGCTGGGAGCCTGGGATCTATGGGAAGGAGATGTGTTGGGCCCTCTTCAGATTTGGCATATTTTTGGAAAAATAGAGAAAAGGTTATGATTTTGGAATTCAAAAGTCCAATGATTATAGGGAGGCCATTTTTCTATCATGATTGTACATGGCAATTGCGTCCTTCAATTAAGGGGCATTTTATTTATTGTAAAACATTTTATCTAAAAACAACCACCCAAATCGAATTAATAAAACAAAAACTACCTAACTGTTACAAACATTATCTGCATTGACACTTAAAGCCAATAGACAAAATTAATGTCCCCTAATTGCAATACAAAATTGCATTATCCAATCCTGAAATCTTAATTTTAGAACTTTGATCTACTTAAAAAATGAATCTAAAAAAACTACCAACCTTAACTTGAGATTTATTTTTATTTTCATATGTGCAATATTGGTATTATACGAAAGATAATAAAAAATTATAAATTTTAATACATTTTTATGAAAATCGGATTATAAATAAAAAATTAAGAACCACGCTTGGGGTCGCTTGTTAGCAAGTCTGAGACCTCTAACATAATTTTTTTAGTTAAGTCTCACCAAGCAATTCTATTGACACTTTTAATCAATAAATAAACGTTTCGTAATTGTAAATTGTGATATATAATCATGAGATCTTAATTTTAGAACTTGAGTCTACTTTAAAAAAAATGAGCCTAAAAACATCCGCCTCTCAAATCAGATTTTTTGGTATATACGGTATTAGTATCAAAGATAATTAAAAGTTACTAATTTTATATATTTTTTATAAAAATGAGATGATGATAAAAAAATTATGGCCATTTAAGAAAGAGGTTTTTTTTAATTTAGCCTATAACATCATTTCATTTTCGTGCTTATCACTAGGTAGCTTCGTACGTAATTTCCATTGGAGTGAATGGATTATTATCGATGATTCATTCCGATATTAGTTTGGGAGATGTTTTTAGCTTCAACCTATTTTCCTAAATGATTTTTTATTTAACATTATTAAAAAAAAACTCGTATAATAAAGTTCAAAAAAAGTTTGAGTTTTTTTTAGAAAAATATTATTAAATTAAAACTTGTTTACACAAATATGACTAATACTTACTATAATATAGTGTCATAGTAACTTAAGTTTATAAATTGAATATTCCCTCCGTCCCATATTTAACTTCGATTTTGACCGGACACGGG